AAAATATAAATATATATATATAAAAAAATCAATTTCAAATGTATCAGTTTGACCTGTGGCCAGCATTTTTCACCACTTTGCTTAGAAGCAATCACAAATCATAGTGACGAAAGTGAATTAAACCTACTCTCTAGCATTTACTTACTATTGTCAGGTGGGCTGCTAGCCAGTAACTCTGGGGCAGGGCCACTGCTTTTCTCTGCCAGGTCTATTGCCATCTGGATGTCCTCAGTCCATTTGTCCATTTCGGCATGGGTACTAACAATGAAAATTCAGGTTTTATTCATTTTCATACAGGCTGAAAGCAAACTCTAAGAAATAGTCACAAGTTGAGCTTACTTTTAATTTAAATAAATGAATTCAGACACAAGATGCTAAGTTTTTTTCCTAATAACTTAGTTTTGATTCTGACTTGCACAATTGCCACTCTGTTTTGTCCCACTCACTTTTTTTTTTCCTTCACAAGTGGCTTTCACAAAAGAATATACCTTTGAACTTGTTTTAGGAGCAAATCCAAACAAAATGACGCCTCTCTGCTTTTCTATCTGTCCCACTGTGAAAGCTGCAGAGAAATACAGTTTATATGTGTAAGTTGTCTCCACTGAAATACCTTGCAGCAACAACGATGGACTGGTGTTGACCTCGTAGTGTCAGACAATGAGGAACCCCCCATTCCTCTTCACTTTCTTCTATCTGAGAGATAAAAGCCCCAAAAATGCAGTCAGATTGCAGGAAGTACATATTTCTTAAGGTGAAAAAGTGAACTGAACAGGCTCTTACCATTGGGGAAAAGAAAACTAAGAGAAATGTTCACAAACAACAATTCTGAGCTAGGTATTGAGAAAAAACCGGTGGCTTGGAAGTTGGAAAAACAGTAAGTTCGTTCTGCAATAACCTCTTAAACCAAAAGCATGGCTTTGTCTGCTTTGTGTCAAAAAAAAAAGAAGGAAAATAGTGGTATTTTTATCAGAAGAGTGATTCATCATACAAAAGGATAGGTTAAAGGCTGGGAGTGCTCTGGACACTGCAGCATAACACAGTTCTGTTGTGAACAAGTCCACGCCAAATGGACATCAATAATTGAGAAGATTCCTAGAAACACTAGATAAAACTTGAAGCCTTGCAGGTGTTTAGAGAAATTCAGTTACTGTGGTAGTGATTACCTAATTCAATTCTCAGAAAAACAGTACGGAATAGATACAAAGCCAGAGAAGTTCCAATGAAAATAAGGGGGGGAACGAAAGTGTTTTGAAACTAGCAAAAATATTCTTGAAATCATGTAAGAAGAAGAGGTAACTAGGTGCTATTGGCTCAAATTGGCTGTTTTCCAGAAGAATTGCAACAAGAGCTCCAAATGACATTGCTGCCAGCTTCCCATTACTTTGGCTTTAAGATACAGAGCTGAAAACATTAGGGAATGTTTTTTTATAGAAATTGGATTGTCGTTACTGTTTACTTGCCTTGCACAGCGTGTCTATTAGCAATTGGTGATGAATTACTTGTAAGAATCATGGTTAAATTTATGGTTTAAAAAAATAAAGAACCCATCTCACGAGTTTTCATTATGAGGAAGCTGCCCCCAAAAATGCCTTTTTTCCCCCCACTTTTGCTATATAATCACCTTTGTGTAGAATGCTGCACGAACATATGCCGAACCCAACACAGCCCCGTCAGGCACTGCAGAATGTAACCACAGCTTCTCTGAATCCGAGAACAGCCCTTCGCTGCTGCTTTCAGCCCCGCAGAAATTCATCAAGCAGTTAAGATGGGACCACAAACGGCCATTTAAGCGTGAATCTCTTAAGTTCTCACAATACTTACTGTCATGCCATACAGTGGAAGATGCCCGTGGACTTTAAACTGATTTGATGCTGTCAGGCCTCTACTTGTGTACAACAAGATATCGTTAAACTAAAAAGCAAGAATAAGCATTATTAGAATGTCGGCATGTGTGTATGTGGAAAAAAAATCAGATGGTAAATACGGGAAAGCTAGCCAGTGCTGGCTGACTATTTATATGGCAGTTCTAATGCACGAATCCAAAATACTGGCTTCCACAATATTCCGGTACCTAGTATTAGCACCTGTTATTTTCCCTGCCTTCCTTCCCAGCTAGCCTCAGGCATGTTCCCACAATATCTTCCGATGCCTTCTAACATTCCCTTTGTGATCTCTGGGTCAGAACTAACAAGCCACAACAACAGTGAAACCAAGTAGTACGTTTCACACTCTGTCACACTTTGAAGCTATGGAAGATAAGTGTGTTTCACCAATATTTTCTTCTGTGTGGAAAGATAAGCAAGCACGCCTGAGAGAGGTGTGTCCGACTTAACTCTTACGAAGTAAGCGGCTACCTATTACTCCCCATATTCAGAAGGAAGCTGGGAGACCTCTTTTAAGGTAGATGGCTTTAGGTTAGAAAAATCAAGGTGAAGAGACTAAGTATTTCAATTTGTAGAGCTTCCTGCATGTAACAGCAGTTGCCGAAAGCATGTCAAATGACCGCCTGCATTTTGTTGCCATAAAATGAATGGCCTATTTTCACTGTGCCACCTGGGTCAAAGGATGTTTTTCTCAAACCAGACAGTTGTATCAAGAAAATCATACTCTGTAGTGTGAAACAGAGCTCTCAGCACAGACATCTACAATCCAATAGCTATAATTCACGAAGCCATGTGGATCAGCCACTAGAGGGGGATTTAATTTTGCCAAAGATTACACGCGTATTCAGAGTACCAGAATACTGACCCGCGATTTTACCTCCAAAAAGATTCTGGTGCTTGAGACAGACCAAAGACTTCTTTGAGAGAGCGAGCAACTGACTTGAGAGTCTAGTCTCAACTTTTTAATGTTTTATACAGGTATAATATCGAGGCATCATCTGGTAACAAGAACTGTAGTATGCAAGAAAATATGTACCATATTCATTAGGCTTCCTCTTCAGTGACTTTAAAGGCAGAGGATAATCCTCCCCAGATAGATTTAGCAGTTATATTTTTGGCTCATTTGAAAGATTAAATATCAAACATCTTGTAAAACCTAGCACACCTAGGTTTTCTATACACCCACTGTCTTCGCCTTTTGCATACAGAAGCCAAGGAAGTATTTTCCTGCACTGACTCTTTAATGTTTTGCCCTGTAACGGTGGACTAGAAAATGTATGCACTCTGCTGGGCATCCCAGTGCCCCGGCACCAAGAGCTGAGCAGCAGCAGGATGGGGGGCCTGGGAGCAAGCCAGCTGGCCGGGAAGAGAAGAGAGGAGGAACCATCTCGTCGGCTCTTGTGGATCGGAGACCAAGTGGGATCACCATAACCTGAAAACGCTGCGAGTGATGGTGGAAGGAGATAACCCTTCCTAGTGCAAGAGTTACAAAATATATCCCCAGGTAAAGGCAGGTCCTTCAACATGCTGGGCACTCGTGGGCTGAAACTGGATGGTTTGTGGAGAAACTTGGTTCCATAAATGTGTCCTGAGAGCATTATGTGGATTATCATTCATATCACCAGGAGTTACTCTTCATCATCTTTTCTGGACATGCCACTTTTCATTTTATGACGACTCTGCTTTTATTTAAGACAATGCTTTAGGAGGTATTATTTTATCATGATATTCACAGTGCCATATAAAAATAAATAGTTTTACCTTTGTAAGAAGCAGTTACAAAGAGAATATTGGGTTTGGACAGAAACATAAATTCTTAACAACCAGCTACATAGGTGATGTATTATGTTAACTTAAATAAGGGTGCTTAAAAATACTTAGTGTAATTCACAATTTGAGTCTAAAAGTATGCCTAATAGTTGCCTGCAGTTACATTTCATTATACAAAGAAAAACTGTCTTCTTGCTTACCAGGAAGAACATCCGTTGCTGTAAACCTTTTCCAGACAACTTACTAAGACTGCCCAATCTAATGAACTCCTGTGGGAAACAAATACAAAACAAATATGTACCTTCTGCAAAAATGATGACGATTTTTTATTATGCAAAGATAAATACGACTACTTGGTCATAGGACTGACCTGACCATCAGTCACCAAGACTTTTTATTTTCTTTATTAAATACGTTAAAGATCTTATTTATAGGATAATTTCTTTCCATTCATAACTGTCTTTAGAATAAACTCCTTCACAGTCCTTCATTCATTTTAAGAAAATTCAGCTAACCAAAATTTTCTTTACCTACCATTGGTTCCTTCAGAAGCTCCCTCTTTCATCAGTTTTGAATGAATATTTTTCATGTTACAAATGATGTAAAAACTAATGATAAGTTGGTCTGTGTGTTACTGGTTAGCCCCTGGTAAGCTTCTGTTGTGCATATGGCAAACACAGCTCTTTACTGAGATGTAAAATCGGCTACACAAATCAACATCACCATCAGCAGCAGAAAAAGGAGGAAATTTGTCTGGCAGTGTGAGTTATCCTAGTACTATCCATGTTGTATAATACAGTACATTAATTCAGATCAGACTGTTTAAGAATGTTTAGGGATGGAATTATAGGAAAAGTAGCACATCTGAAACTTTCAAAATGCTGGATTTCCTGGGCTTACTGTGAACTATACCGTAATTCACCCTTCCACTTATCTGAAACCTATGAAAATATCATTTTTCAGTCACTCCCTCCAGCTTCTGCCAAGAGGTTTATATTTATTTATTACAGTCTTTCGAAGGTCACTCTACTCATAATTGTGCAAGTAAAAGGCATATAAAGCATCAGAATCACCTGCAGCTTAGCAATAAACTGGCTGTCGAAGATTAATCTGTGCAGAGAGAGACTCCAGTTGCCTTAGGATTGCTGTGAGGTGTCCAGTCCCCCTACCTGCATTGCGTAAGGGCTAAGGGGTGGAAAAAGTGGCTAGAGGTGGTTATCCCTATATCGCGGCAGGCTCACGTTACCAGAGAGGCCACTGGAAGCTGTTGTTGGCCACCAGAAAATATTAATCATAATTACTATTTATACGGTACCACCTAATGGTCACTAGCAGGCTTAGCACCACCACGGCAAGCGCCATGCAAACACACGAATCAAGAGCTGCAGGTCATTGCAATCTGCAAGCACAGCTGACCACAGGACATTTTAACGTTCTATAGGAAGAAGCTCGGTAGCAGCAGAGACCCCAGACTGAGGCAACGTGTAGAGGATGGTTACCAACAGCGCCCTTTAGGACAGCTGAATCACTGGCCTAATGTGAGACTTCTCCTCTGAGACGTGGAGTTCAGCCACCTTCGGGTAAACCCAACCATGGGTGACAGTGGCATTTGCCTCCCAGCCCAGCCTGCGCCGGGCCAGGGACTTCAGCCGGAGCTAGAAGAGTGGCCAAAGGGCTGGAAAGCAGTGACCTCTTGGGCATGTGCCGGAGTGTGGTGGCCAATGCTTTCTGTCTTGGCAGGCAAACAACCTCTGCGCCTCATCTGCCTTTTTCTTGAACTTCCTAGGAGAGGAAGACTGCTCTGTCTTTAAATAGAACAGGGTAGCAGAAACAACTGATGACAGCATTTAATTTCATGTGATAGAGAGATGCGCAGGCTGTGAAATGTCCTGAGGGGCTTGCCAAGGAAGTGAACGGTCTGTGGATCACTGGAAGGAGGCATGAGCCGTGGCGGCTGCTTGGGAGACAGGGAAGAGGCAAAGTGAGGAAGCAGAGAACAGCCACAAATCAAGAAATACCCATGCCAGTGCTGCCTTCCCAATGGCATATCAACTTCAAACCCCTCTTTCTTCATGTTTGAATCCTTAAATGAATTAGACCCTAGAGAGCTCAGCAAGCTGCCTCTCTGCCACGACCCCACTGTGGCACTAGACATGGGCACGGCACGGCAAGGAGACTCCAGGCTGCGGCTCTCGCTGAGCGGTGGTCCGGCCAGCCTGCAGGGGTGCGTCAGGGCTGGACGGCCGGGCTGCAGGGCAACTTCCAGTGCTGCCGTATTTGCAGTTCAATGCAAAACTAATTTTTTTTCCCAAGCTGTTTCCCAGAAATGCATAAAGGGATAATGCATAAATGCATAAATGCCGCAAGTACTGTTTTCGTGTGTTACACACAAAAGTCAGGGGAGCGGGGAGGAAATTACTTCAACAAGAGACAACTCTCAAGTTTGCACGCAAGATACGTGCACGCAGAAAAGTAAAAAAGGGTACAAATACTACACTGAGGCTCACTTATTCGGAAATAAGCCTCCATTTTTAAAAAAGCATGACAAGTAAGAAAGGGATGTTGGTATTTTTATAACACAATTAAAAGTGTTTACTTAAGGCAACACTGTCTCAAAAATTATTGCCTAACATTACATGTAGACTAAAGAGACTGCTCGTCCCCAGGGCCATGAGTTTCAAAGCTAGGCATTGTGAAAGGGCTGAAGGTCCTCCAGCACAAATGTCTTACTTTCTTTTAATCTGCTATGCTCTAGCATCGAGGGTTGAAAAAAAAAAAAATTAAGGGCAACAAGAAATGGGGAAATGTGCAATTGCTCAAGCTCTGAACACTGATAAATATTACATTTTTACCGCTTCTGTTGTAATAGATGTTTGGAATTGCCTACAACCTTCTAAATCTATACATAAGATAAACCTAATAAAATCAGTAAAAAGGTAATAAAGATGATTGCTTCTTCCCGCTTTAAAGGCTGCTGTTTTCTATGGTGTTATTATATTTACATTTGATATTTTTTCATGAGAGAAAAAGGTTCATATGAGGAAAGGCAACTTCACAGCTGCTCCTAAGAAACATGTTTCTAAAACATACCTAATGCTTTGAAATCGTATCAGACCTTGATCACAACTCTGCTACTTACCCTTCCTGCTATCACCAGATTGTCTATGCCTATCAAGTCTTTCTTGAGTTCATGCAGCTTCTGGAAGTTCTCCATCTTTATCATATTGCCATGGAGTTGAGCCACCATTTCAGAAATCTCAGCCAAAGCAGCTAGATGGACAAAACCATAAAATGCTTATTAAAAACTTACAAGAATGTTCAAAAAGAAAGATGGATTTTGTCTGCAGCACTCAGCTCAAGAACATCAACTTCCTTGTGTTACCCTTTTCCCTCACAGTGTAAACCCACACGGGCAGACTGAAAACCGCACAAACTCTTTGTATCATCTTATTGAGGATGGAGCGTTGTAATGAAGAGACAGTCTATTTCCTCAACCAGAAGTTTGCTCTATTTTAGCCACAGAAACTTTGTAGTCAAATACTTGAATCAATTCAGAGCACCAATGAATGGTTCTCCTAAAGGCTTTCATTTCATATATCTCCAATTAATTTAGGGGTCTTCTATATGCTTGAAAAAAACACACAGCCTGCCACACACTGGGTCAGGTCCGTATTTGAAAACACCAGGAAATGGCAGTGTCATTTATTGTACCGTCTCAGATGGTAAACCTGGTAATCCTGCGGTTTGTCCTCAGTCCCAGCAATGAGAACAGCTGGAAGGGCTGCATGTCCCTGAGTCGCATCACGGCTCTACTTCATTCTCTCCAAAGACACTACCAACAATGAGTGACCTAACACCTGGGAGTGATTTTCCTAAGGAAAATCTCCATTGTTGAAGGGGATTTCTGCTGTGTGAAGAAGGATCAGGTGGGATACAGGAGGAAGCAGGCACTACGAAGTCCCACTCTGCGGCAGCAGAAGCCAAACCAAGTGTAGGCTGCTGCCGATTTGCTTCCCATGTCTTGCCTTTTTGCTGTGCCAACAACACAGTAAGTCAACTCAGGGAACTAAGCTGAAAATCACTTCATCACTTGATGTTTTCTGGGGAACCATCTCATGGACTGGCTCCCTGTGCCATCATGTATGTGAGCACCAACCTTGATAGACCTAAATGGACGGGCAGTCTCTGAATGGGCCGAACACACTGATTGACTGACGTTAGTGCTAGAAGAGCAGTTACAGCCATTTGTATTAAAAAAATACAGTCAAGGGAACAGTAACAGTCATTCTTCGTTCTTAAACCATTGCTCAGTGTGCAGTTCATCCACCTGTTAGCGGGAGACCTGTGCTCTCTGCTGGAATTCACATCCACATCTCCCATTTTTTTTGCTTCCTTTACACTCTGACCTTTAACAAAAATCTGCAAACACCTTAGTAAGAGACTGATCCCACAGTGATAGTGTCCCCGAGTCAGAATGTCCTTCTCATGCTCTCTTATTTTCACCCCTGAATCCTGTGTTTGTATCCATTTCAAAAGTGGAGCAGGAATCAAACCTTGGTGGCTGCTGCACTCTCTGGGGAGCTGGGAATGGACACATCATCCTCATCATCTAGCCTCGGCTAAAAGAAATGAAGGCACTACTCACTGCATTCCTTGAGATCATTCAGGCAGTAGCTGCATTTAGGCAAACATCTGTGTCACGTAGCACTTCAGTGCCACAGACCTCTGTGGCATTTCCTATTGCTAGAGGTCAAGTTACCTCTGCATTTTGCACATTGCCTGCTGTGGGTCTCATTGCACAGCATCTAAGGGAACTTAGCCAGCTAACTCAGCTAACACCTTACAGCTGGGAGTAGTCATGCCAAGCATTGCTCCCTGCCCAAGTCCTTCTGTGGATCTGCACTGAGTGCTAACTGTATAGATAACACAGTTATCTTTAGATGTAGATAGCTTACAACGGGGGTGGGGGATGGGGCTAAGAAAGGAGGAAAACAAATAATCAAAAAGAAATAGCAGGCAGAGAGTTCGAACTACAGGAGGAAAATTTCTTCACATTTGGAAAAAAAACATGTTGGCAGCTTTGGTCCCTGAAACAAATAATGGAAATGGTAATAGAGCAAACTGTACATCTGGAAGTAAGACAAATAACACTTAAAGACATAATAACAGCAGCCATACTGGGTCAGACCAAGGGTTCACCTGGGCCAATATTCTGTGTACCTAGCAGATCTCTAGGGAAAGCTAGGAACAAGACATGTGGTATGTTCCCTGTGTTCTCTCCCAGCCTCCCAACTGTTTTCAGTTCAAGCGACTTCCTGAACTGCATGTCATTTCTGTGTGTTTAATAACCCCCAGCAGATTTCTCTTCCAAGTACTTGTCCAGACTGTGGCATAATGTGTATGCAAGAGCAACCTTAATCCTACCATTTCTGGTCTTCTGAGTGCTGCATTTTGCAACTCAATCCTCTTTCAATGTAGGCTTAAAAAAAAGATGTTTTTTTTGTCCAGCCATGCATCTCTAATGGATTTGGATGCCATTCCCCAGCTCCAGGAACTGGTGTGTTTTCTCTTACTTACCTCTTGAATCCCTGAAGTCTATGTGGCTTGGTGGATAGTGTTTGCAAAGCCTCTCCATTATCTGCTTGTAGTGCATAAGCCTGTGTAAAGGTCTGAGAAGGAAGGTATTGAGAGGCAAGTAGCAGACTTTCTGTAGCTCAAAATCCCTGCAAAAGGTCTCCAGCTTGCGAGAGTTCTTGATCCCGTTCTCCAACTCCATTAAAATCTCATTGTGCTTCCACAGGTGAATTGTCAGTTGCTGATATGCACAAAGAAAAGAGCATGTGGTAGAGCTATTAGCAATCACTGTGAGACATGACTCAGTCCAAACCTATTCCAATAAAAAATCCAACTAGCACAGCGGTTGGGATTTTGCAAACAAAATCACTGCGCAACACAATAGTTCTGATATTCACTTGAAACGGAGAAATGGCATTACTCGTTTGAAGTACACACCTCCACCCCCTCTGCATTCCCTGTAAAACAAAAGTACATGAGTAAACAAAACTAAGTCTGATATCAGTGAGGAATCCAAAGGCAAGGAGATGACATGAACATAGCTCATGCAAGTAGGTGCAACAGGGAGAGAGCTAGACAATCCGAATGCAGAGCTAGGAAACAAAATGGTTTTCTAGGAGGATGAAGGGATTTAGTTGCCCCAGTTCCCTTAGGTGCTTTTGGGGAACAGATGCCGGCAAATGGACTTCTAGCTTCTGCTCCCCTGTTATTAATGAGAAGTTGCATCTGCCAGGAATCTGAACAAATGCAAAAATAGAGGAGTTGTCCGACACAAATGGGTATGTTAGAGTTCTTCATCCCTGGATTGCGTTCTCTTCTCCTTAGTGCAGTCTCTAAGATGATCCCACTGGCAGCAGGGGAGTTATGCACCAGCAAGTGAATGAGGATTGCATGAAATACTTAACTTCATTTAGGTCCCAGTATCCCAGGCATTCACGATTCCCATTTAAAACAATTCAGCAGTATTTTTTTTAACAATTAACACAGCGGCCTCATTTGTGTTTTGGAAAAGGTAAACTAGCTCTTCAGGATGCAGAAGCCAAGTAAAGTCTCCCAGTACATGGTAGAATATTAACCAGCAACAAAAAGAAACTGAATGCGATGCTAACTGGACTTCAGAGGACAGTTTGGCTTAATGTAAAGCTCGTGCTTTTTGACACATTTCCAACCAACTCCCGTGATTTGTGACATCCTTACCAGAAATATACCTTCCCTACAGCAAGCTGCTTCCTCCATACACTGCATATTCATTTTACAAGCCTGTAACTCAAGCAAAGACACAGCAGACCCTCTGGACTACTACAGAGGCTGCCCGTTAATTACTTGCTCTTAACCTCTTTCCTATGTTAATTAAACAAGGAGTGACAGTTTTCAGGTCTTTTAACAGGTCTCATGATAAATATGTAGAGTTTTAACTAACTTTATTGTTTCCAGTGCAGTTCTTTAAGTCAAACTGGGCTTTGGCTCCTTCCTCCAAATATCTGTGCTTATCAGTGGTGGTGGTTCTCAAAGCAAAGAGAACAAAATCCCCTAACGGGAAAGGGAGAATGGCGAAGGTGAAAGCACACTGGTCTAAGTTACAGTGAGGACTGTATGCTGCCATTAAACTAGTGCCATAGAAGGACCTGCAGACAGTGAAGGACAGACAATTTAATGTTGCAAGATACTGAGAGCAGAAGCAGAGTCTGTCAGAAGCTGAGATTCCAAAAACTGTTTGTGAAAAGGAGCGTACTTCTTCAAAGCAGGGATAGAGGTAGAAGAGTCCCTCCTGCATTTCTTCCAATGCCTCTGAATCGTGTCTTGAGGGGAAAAAGCAGTTCCTGCTAAGTACATTGCAGAAAGGGTAAGGCCGCCTTATTGGTGACAAAACTGTCTGTATTGGGGACTGTAAATCAAGATTTCTACATTCTCTTTTTCTGATTTGCTGTATAATCACTCACATGTCACTTAACCTCTCGTCATCTCTCTCTGTCCTTCTGAAAGATAAGCCTAGCACTAACTAATGTCTCAGGAGAGCTGTAAAGATTAAACTGCCCTTTCCTCCAGCCAAGGACTCAAGGCGGCTCCATTTACTAACTGCAGAATGCCGAAGTGGCAATCACCAAGGAAAGATTTATCTTATAGTTTCGAAAGCACTTTGAGATCCGCATGCTGAAGGTGCGGTGCCATGTTTTGCCACACACTGACCTGGATGCATAGCTACATTAATAAGGTGAGCTGTGTGTTATTCATCCATACTGTAAAAGTCTGTAGGGCTTTTGTGGACTCCCGCGCCTGCGTTCCATGCTGTTTGTTCAGTAACGCAGTAACACAGAGCATCAAAATTACTACTCTGGCCAGACTAAGAACAGATGCAAAGTCTGCTGAACGTTACACCTAGATTTACACTTCATACATGTATTTTTGCTTTTAGCTTTAAAGGGCAATTATTCACATTTATTCAAAAACCTTTCATCTAACTTGGCACCATAGTGCACAAATATAAGTTTCCCAAATCAAATCAATATCCAGGTTATAGTCACTACTCCTGCAATATCTTACCGCTTATATTTGCATGCACAAGTAGGCACACTCGGCGTTTGAACAGTCTCTTCAGCTGTATAAATTCCGATGTTTTGCCCTCTTATTTGAAAGAAAAAAGAACTGGAAATGAAATGGTCCTGAACTTTTGTTCATTGTTCCTGTATTTGGAGAGTGGACTGAGAAAAGGGACTGGACAATTTAAAATCAGCTTGCAATTCTGAAATCTCAGGGCTTACCAAACACTTGCTACTTCATCAAAGGAAACTTTTATAGCATAAGCCTTGATCACAATTGGCAAAAACCAGCACAACAGGCAACATCATATGAAAATGAAAAGCATGCTAACGTTAATCCGTGTCAAAGCTTAACAGTTATAGGATCATTCCTACCTTCATACTCTGAATGTTCTTTAGCATAACATCTCCGATTCTTTGGTAATCTCCTTTAATGTGAGCATTAGAGCGGCCTTCCCTGTCAGCAACAGAAATATTGCACACTTCAGTCACGCAATAAAACCACATAATCACTTATAAGCACAGAAAGGAACTCAATAGCTCATTTCTTTTAAAATCCTGACCCCCATGCTCCTTTGCTCGGGAGCGTGTGAGGACTCTTCCTGACGGACATGTAATTCTCAGGCACAGTACACCTTTCACCCAGCCTGGCTTGCACTCCTAACAACAGAGAGGGCAGGCACTTAACAGAAGGATTAGATTTTTAAAGAAAATTGCTAACATTTTTAAACACACCAGAGAAGGCTGGAAATGGCTTGAGAAAAAGGAAGAAATCAAAATCCCATGACAATACGTGGGCTTAGAGCAGAAGGATAATTCTGTTCAGAAACAAGGATTGCACCCCGGCACAGGACCTGCAGGTGTTCCTCCTCTGCAAAGCTTTCTGCTTGTGCAAGGGACAGTGGGACAATAAAAAAAAAATCCATCCAGCATCTGGGTTTGACTCATAAGTGTTACATACTGGCAGGAATTTTCTTTCGGTGTGTCACTTTTGGAAGTAAAAATGCAAACTGCTCCCTCCCACCCAGCCAGCTGCACTTGGGTGGGTGCTCCATTTGGGAGAAACCCAGCTTCTGATGAAAAAGAGATTTCCTGCTTCTAAACCCATGTGCGAGACAGGCAGGGATACCACACTCTGACTGAATCCAAACACATCTTTGAGAAAACACAAGAAGAAAAATCATGAATGTAAGAACCTAACTGTTACAGATCTGTTCCAACCAAGTTAGGTTTTCAAAAGAAAATTACTAGGGCGAGTTGTGGGGAGAAGCACTGTCCCCTTCCCCTTTCCAACTTCTAATACTGCATCCCAGTTTCCTGCAGCATGGCTTTTTACATGCCGTCCTCAATTTTTAAAATTCAGTTCAACTCCCACATCTGAGTATTGGGAGACAGATCCAGTCCTGGTGTAAGCAACTGCCATTCAGCCAAAGAAATGCGCTACCTTGAAAGAGGACAGAAATATAATCAAGCTCTAAATGAACCCAAGGATAACAGGACCTCTGTTTTGTGTTACCGCTAAATGGATATATTGTTTTTCACCCACTTGCAGTAGTTCACGCTTTTAAGAAAATTCTGTGTGCAGCAAAGGAACAAGTGGACAACCAGGTGGTAAATCTCTCCATTCCTTAGTACCAGCAGTTTAGCCAGAGAGGTCCCACACTCACCAAATCATAGAGGATGCAGCTGTTGTTAGGAATATACTTTCACTGGTAAGACACATAGAATTTTTGGGTTTTTTTAAATCCATATGATTACATTAATAGATGCATATTCAGACATATATTTTGTTTTGTAAAGTTAAACATGGTTATGGTCATGCTGGATAATCTCTCCGCATGCTTTTCTAACTGGGAAATGTGGAGGGCACAGCTTATGAATACTACACAGTAACATCTCGTATTTTATCCTTCAACAGACAAAGAGACTCAGCTGATAAACAAGGGATTGCTCCATGTTGATTTGAGCAATATCCAGTTTCATAGGCTGTCTTTAATTATTTCTTATTGTGTTAAGTCTCCCAGGCACTCACATGCCTATTTAGGCAAGAAAAATACAGTTCTCAACAAGATTTTTTATGTTTTTTCTGAATCCAAAGGTTACACTGGGGTAGGAAGTTGGGTTGTGTCAATGGTAACTTTAATTAGCATCGCCAGTTTTGCAAAAGCACTACATTATCTAAACACTGCCATAGTCAAAACATGCCCAAGAAATGGTCTATATTGCAAGGAACAGCAGAGGTATGTACAGATGTTACAAGACTACAGTCTCCACATTACCTGAGCATAGAAGTCCAATTTCTCTCTCCAGGAAGCCTCTGTCAAGTCATCTCCCCCCATGCTGTTCCCTGCCTTTCCCTTCCCCCATGTCTGTTCATCTGGCAGCTCTCCCCACTGAGATTTCCTCTGAGAGGTTGTAAATAAAGCTTTCCAGCCACTAAAGCTCTGCTCAAAGTGGTGCATATCAAAGTGCCCCCGCCTGAAAACCACAACCATTTGAAGTCCAAGGCAGTAGCACCGCACTGGCAGGAAGCAAGGGAAAGTCGCCCTACACCCGTGCAGCCAGCATGCAGCATCCCATCCCAAATGGTTCACGCTGTGCCATTGCACACAATCCCAGAAATGTCAAAGCCAGATGATTTTGTGCTGCTGCCAGTAAACGACATGGTAGTCGGTAATTATCTCTAGAAGAATTCTTGTTTTATGTGTTATTCTCTAACTCTCTGGCATTGCCTGGATCCTTTTTTACATCTCTACATTTGATTTAATCTAATGGACTTCAGCAGTTTGGTATGTTTCCTATTTACTGGCAAGATAAATATTAAGTACAGCATTACAGACTGCTATTTATAAATAGAAATTGCTTTTCTGATTTCAAGGCTACAATACAGGTTGACTGGAATACTCGTTGCAAATTTCTTATCTACTAGCTAGCTACTCGAACGCTGACCCCAAACCTACTGAAGTCATAGTGAGTGCTTCCACTGAATTTGTGAACTTCAGCTAATATTTAGTGCAGCTGTTCATTGAACAGTCAGGTCCTTATTTCCTAAAAGTTGACCCCCTGGCCCGTTTTCAGCACAGCCAGCACTACTGCTTGCACAGCATCTCGTCACATCAGTCACATGCAAAGCATCAGGAACATTTCCCTTCATTGGCTTTGGCCACAGACTGGTCCGAGGCTTTTTTTAAAACAGTTTGAGGGCTTTCAAATCTCACTCTGCATCTTGCCAGAGTGACAAAGAGGGAGAGAAGGGGGTTCCCCAAAAGCAACAGCCTCTCTCCAGCTGCTGGCTGAACAGTGAAGAGCTGAATCCTACCAGAGCTCTCAGCCCAGGCCAACAGAGAGAACCTGTGCTGCAGGCAGATGCGTACTGCTGGAAGAAATAAAACCCTAAGAAAATCCAGAAATGTGATGGCTGGATATTGCTCCTTGTTCCAGGCATTCTCCCTGCTCTGGCTCTCTATTTCCATGCAAACGCTGCCTCTCACAACAGAGATGATTTTCCCACTGGGGGTGGTGCGTATGTGTGTAGACTGTGATGCGGAGCAGAGGGTCAGGGAAAGCTGAAGCCAGGCATAGGGGAACACGACAGCTTCACATCTGCCTCCTGAACCCCATCCTCCACTCCACTCCAGCTCTCTGCCGGGACTCCACAGTAACCCCTACACTACACTGCCCTCTTCCCCAGCTCCTCAACATGCAAATCCCAAGTAAACAAGAAGAAAAGAAACCCCAAGAAAAGAGCATCCAAATACACAGAATATTAAAATAAAGACCAAACACCTGCTCCATCAGATGGTGTCTTACTGCTTCAACAGCCCAAAGCACAGCAGCAAAGAGGAGAGCTCTCCCTGCGGTGTATGTTTTGAATAACAACACTTAGCTTGCTGGAGAGGGGAAGAAGTGGCTCATTTGTTGTGCATCGATGGCTAAATTGTTCTTCTTACTCCTTGTTTTCACGGGTCACTGTTTGAACACGGTATCTATCTGCCAGTGACAAGGGACAGAGCAAGGATCTTACAAATTTTCATCAGGAGCTGATTTATGACCCCCAGCTCCACAGAAGATGTAGGAGCTGCTTTTCCCACACATAATGTGCCATCGCTCTATTGTTTGGGGAGGTCGACAGCCACTGAAAATCATGCTGAATCGTGGAGATTCTATGATTCTATGAATAGTGGAGATACTATTCCGTAATAAGTAATTTCCCATTTTTCTCCAAACAGTGTCTTCTCAGTGTACATCACTGAAAAAGGAAATATCAGGTCAGCCCATACTATCCTCAATCATCCAGGAACAGTAGTAGAAGGAACAGAAATTTGATGGGGATGGTGAGAAGGCAAAGAAGGAGAGAAAGGTATCTCAACAGAGATTTTTTTTCCCTGGTGAATATAAAGAACTTTGACTGCAGCCCTTCAATTGCAGCAAAAAAAAATCAATTGCAGCAAATGGTATTTACAGTGTGTGACCTTCTGTTACATGCTTAGGAACAGCATCTCCCTCCTGGGTACTATAGCTTGTCTTTGAGCACTTAAGACACTTGGCTTTTTAAGAATATTGTTAACTAAAGTTCTAATATTAAGAAATACCTTAAACATCCCCCATTAAAACTGCCTTTTAAATAAGAGGAACATTTTGTAACTGGAAAAGAAGAGTTGATAAAAGCAAAGCACCCTCCTCCTTGCTCACACCCTGCTATTACACAGTGCCTCTTACTGCCCTGCCCATTCCAGCCATCGCTGCAGCTGTCCTTTCCGGCAGTAAGTGCTGCTCAGAGCGTAAGCAATGTACTGCTGAAGCCACCAGAGTTTCCCAGCGTCCCACCAAGCCTTCGGGGAGCGTGCACACATTTAAAGACTTTGGGCTGGCTATCCCTGTTGTGGGAGAAACACAATGCACAGCAAGCATGCATCAGTAATGCTTTTAAACGGTAAGAGATCAGAGCAAGTAACACCATTGCACGGAAATATACTGAAAACACAACAACATTTCATACCTTGGTGCCATGGCACCTCCTCAGAGGCGATCCTGGGTGCATCCCGCCTGGGAGAGCTGCAGAGATGAATGTAACGTGGCTCTGGGTGTGACTAATGGATCCTGGACAAGCGATTTCTCTCCCACCATTTCAAATTCATTTGGGTGTGGCATGGCTCTAATCCCCAGAACTACCCAAAAGTGACTTCAGCAATGCAAACTGTCCTCTCAAAAGTGAGCGCAATGCACTGGCACCAAGCCCCTCTTAATGTCTTTGTCTCAGGAATCCACACTGCATGACTCTGAGGTTTATACTACAAACACATACTTCATTTCTGCACATAGGACAAAGACACTTTCGAAACTGTCCTCTTCATCCCTCTTCACCAGGCACGCAGAACCAGCTGAACAGTCAGCACTCGTGCATTTGAGAAAGCAGATAAGGACTGCTGTTTTGTTTATATAAACTGTTTATCAGGCTGTTCTTCCTGACCGCAAGTACTACTTCCCAAACAAAAAATGGTTAATAAATCAACATTTAGCTCATCTTCCTACACGTCCCTGAGTGCTTTTTATTACAGGTTTTCAAACTGGCTTCCATGAATCCTGATTGAGACTTCTCCTTTCATATGCTAAGATCTAAGAGCTTTTTTGTCACAAATTACCAGCTGCACGTTTCTCAGCCACATCTGGTAGTGCTGAGTAGCAGCTCTCCTCACAAATGCCTGTGAACTGGGAGTCAGATTACTGGCTTCCCTGGGAGAAGGTAAGTCTGCCTGCATTTCTGGAAAGTACGTAACGCTTTTTCTTCCTAGCACATGAATAAGGCCCAAAACGCATATTCACACTACCTGATAGGGCTTCCTAGGGCAGAAACGGCTATCCTGGCTTGCCCTAGCATTGCTCTCTGCAGTGCTTAGCGGTCAACCAAGGGGGGAAAATTATGGTTCTCCATTTACAGCCTTCCATCAGAATTTACAGAAACGTTTGGAAACTTGTGATACAAACATTTAAAGGGGTGTGGGAAGATGAGCTCAATTTTTTTGGCTGGAAAATGGTGCTTGTGGCCCAAATGAATAGCCTATTAAACAGCTTAGATAAATGAAGGAGCAAAACCTAACTGACTTCTCAGATTCAACTGGCCAGATGTCAACGGAGCATGTCATACTCTGCCTGCACTGCCCACACCTCTTCCTCCTTGCCACAAAATCTCTCAGGCCCTGGGAAATAGGAGCCAGCTTTAAGTCACCAAGATATTCCCCCCATATTTCCTCCCAGCAGAAAGGGTTAGGAACTCCTGGCCTTGCACCTAAAGCCTTGCCGAGGAGCAACCTAGATGAATCCTGGTAGCCAGGACCAGGACCTGCATGCCGAGGTGCCGGACGCACCTCTCCCGGCCCTTGCTAACAGGACAGCCTGACGTGTGCTCTTCCCTCTCCCACCTCAGGCAGCTTCCTGCCCTCTTCCCCTCCTCCTCCCTTGCTGTGCGAGGGGGCAGAGCCCCATGCCTGCCTGCACCCGCCAAAGGTCATCCTTCCTCTCCTCAAACTACAGGGCCTCTAGTGGGGTATTTTCACTTGGTCCCAGGAACATGGTTAGTCTCGTGAACAGAGGGCTCAGCACAGTCTGGGCAACTGTTGGGATTCATGGGCTGCTTCACTCACCCAGCAACAGCACAGGCAGGGCAGAAACATCGACCAGGGCATGGTATGACTGATCTTAGGATGCTGTGCAATAAAACCACCAGGAATCTGCTCAGTTCCATGGCCAGAAAGAAACTCTGGCTGTGAAAAATGCAGCAACTTCCTATATTCTGCAGTTGGCTATTGGTGTCAGCATCAATTCGCGTCTTGTTAAAAATTTTCTTACTACGCACTAGACACTGAGATCTGCTGCTCTTTGGAAATGTGGTACTGAAGAGAAAAACGGGTGAATTGTGTAAAGAAACAAATCAGACTTGCCAAAATCTATAACTGGGTCAAAAGGATACCAGCCCTTAAAATGTTCAGTAGCAAACAGTGCGCCTCTGACGGCAGATTCAAACAGTTCAGAAGCCTTCGAGCAAGCCAGAAATGCTTTTAATAATGTGCACAACCTGAGCTTTTTTGAGCCAAATACTAGAAGTCTACAGATGTTTTAACAAATTAAAAGCACGGAGCCATCTAGCAATTGTTACATGCGATCCTCCCCTGGCCTTGCTCTCCTCACAGCTCTTTTGCAGAACATCAGCTTCAACGTGATCCATGTCCTAAGAGACCAGGGAATGGCCTCCCGTAAGAGCTTCCAGCATGCAGCATGAAGGTTTGAAACAAACCTTAGACAAACGCACTGATGTCTAGGCAGAGTGAGCAGGCTGAACTGCACTTTAAGTTGATAAAACCCAGCATCCTACTCACTAGGGGAACACAGACGACTGGTTGCGGGAGGCTCTTCCTCTCAGACAAGCTCCCACAACACATCTGGGTAGCTAGGGGCTTCCAGGAGCTTGATGAAGTCAAGCTTTCATTCAACTCTTTCATTCAAAGGCCCTTTTTTCGTAGGACTCGCCACCCTCTGATGAATACAGAGCACGCTCATGTCTCAGGACAAGCGTCCCACCTTCCTCCTCCTTCCACCCACATGGAAATTTAAAAGAGCTGATGTAGAAGAGTCAGATTTAAATGAGTTGGCCTGAATCCTGCCCGCACCTGCCTGCAGCAGTGCCACTGGCTCAGCCAGGCCAGTCAGGACCTACGCAGCTGATGTAGAGGCTCAGCGCTGTGGTGGTGAATAGAGCCCCGCCGGCTTAAAACCACCCGGGGCCAAAGGTACAATCATGACAGCACGGACATTGAGCTAGATGACCTTGACGACACTGATGAAGAAATTCCCTATCACATTGCCACCAGCTTCTTCTTCTACAAGCTATGGGGCTGTTTATTTTTGTCACTCACTGTTTAATTAAACGGTAGTCTCTAAAGGATAGTTTATTGCTTGCAGCTTATCTCGGCATCTGTGGCATCATATAAAAACACCAACACCTCCAAAATAACACCTGCCAGCAAATCCACCTCCCTTCCTAAGGCACGAATTCAAATCTTCCAGAACTTTAAAAACAAACACCATCTACAACAGTGGTATTATGTTAGGTAAACCCATGCTGTTGGTTGCAAACTGGAGGCAGACCAGAGGCAGAATGTGACTGCATTTCTGTCAAATGAATCAGAGCAGCCGACAGAGAATTCCCAGTGGCTTTACGCTAACTGTGGAAGGACAGTGCAATAGCTAAGCTGACAAAGTCAGAATGAGGTGCCCGGCTGAGACACAGTTACCCGAGCAGAATATTTTTGAACAAATTTGGATTGCAAAGTAACTTCGTAGCAGATCAGCACTTTATATCATAGAGTGACTACAGTTTAAATATGGTATTAGGAGCCTTAAACTGAGGTTTTCCACTCTGTGAAACCGTAGCCTTAGGACACAAGGAAAAGCTGGAAAACAAAAGGCTTACTCATCTCTAAAAGAAGCTAACTGAAAAGGAGAAACAAAATAAAACCATGGCAAGTATAAAGGCCTAAATATTCTTTCTGTCTTTTAACATACCTCTCTAAAGGCCTAAATACTCCTTCTGTCTTTTAACATACCTCACCCCACTTAATACAATGCCACCTTTCCACAGCAGGCTGTTATTGCAGCATCATCCGATTTTTGAAAAACATCACACTTGAACAGGAGGTTGGCATCCACCTGTAATGCCACCAGCAACCAGAAGGATATAGGGGGATATTTCAACACGTGCCCCAGGAATCAGCACCCAGCAAGCTCGCTAGATTAGACTGGTCTGATAGAGAGCAGAACCTGCCCCTTTACTAACTGTATAAATTTTCCTTTTCCCGCCATTTGCCCTTAACCCCAACTAATTGGAGATTAACCCCAATTACAGTTAGTCCTACACTATGGCTGGAGAAACAATCACTATTTTATAACATTTGAAAGAGCCTTCTTGGAGTACCTGCAATAAATGTTCCTTACTGGAAAGCAATCAACACCAGTAAGAATCCTGACTGTATTAAAACAGTAGCTGCCCAATATAAAAAGGGAGATACAGGGAGAGCTGCTGTGCAGCACATTGCCTTAGAAGTAACCTTATGTCAACCATCAGCCACAGAGTTCTGGGTGAGGATGTCAGCTCTAAGAGGCAGTATCACATTCCCCTCTCCCCAGAAAATACCCGCTAATTCTGGGTAGGGTGGGTTTGGATAGCACTAGTCTGCAATGTGTTGTGCTCTCATTCAATGACCTCGCTCATCACATCACAAGAAGCTAAACTCACACACTCTAAGACTCTGTTTTGCTTTTGTTTTGATTAATTAGTTAAAAGCACTCATCAGGTCTGTCTGCTCTGCTTTCACGTGATTTTCCATTGTCACTTTTCTAATTGAGAAGGAAAAGTTGGGCTCCCAGCACCAAAGATAAACTACCAAAAATGCCTACACAGAGCAAGACAATCTAGTCCAGAAAGGTCTAATCAGAGCAAGGAGAGGGCTTCTGTGTGCTGCCTCTGCTCAGATATCAGTGGTCAAATGAACTGAGTTAAGAGTCCTGCCAGGGAAGAACTACTCACTTCATAGCTATTTCACAAAAATGCCATGTTTTACTGTCACTATTATGCAAAGGATAGATAATTTTTAAGCCCAGTGTCCTCTTCCAACACTCTGTCAATTTGCAAAGTGCTCTGTAGACCCTGAGAGTGCCAAAGCTGCGGTGCTGCAGAATGGGAAGCTGGCCTCTGAAATCCCCCTCAGCCTACACCTATTTGACAGAAACAGGACTTGGTCCTTCGCCACTCCCTCTTTATTACTGATAAGCCTTGCCTGCAACGTGTTTTTCAGAAGAGCTGCCATATAGAAACACTGACATTTGGCAAGAGAAAGCTTCATCCAGAATTACGATCTCATTTGCGTATGTCTGTACCTGAGATATCCGAACAACAGAGTTTGTTGAGTAAACACGAACAAAACATGATTCAATATACCCAGTCTGTTAATAACCAACATCTGTGACTTTCACAAATGAATCACTACCGTCGATCACAAAGAGTTAGCAAAAAGGGAATGCAAAAATGCTAAACTGCATGAAATAACACAGCTAAATAACAAACAACAATCTTACCACAGAGCAAGTCTCTGCTCAATTTCCTTGAGAAAACCAGTGTGAAATTTGTGCAAAGGTTCGAAGTTGGAGAAAATGAGATTTTTCAATGTTTCGGGCATGCAATCCTCTTTACTCACTGCACTCTGAAACCACTACAAAGAAAAAAGAAGCAAGATTATCGGGGCGTGGAATGCAGCAGGTATGATCATTTGCTGTCTTTATACACCTAACCCAAATACACCTAACCCAGGAAGAATCTTATTTAGCTGGCACTAGGAATACAACCCAGGCTACCCCTGACACTCCTACATGCTGAACTGGTGCTCTTATCAGCAGTCAGGCCCTGCATAGTTAAAAAAGAAAGTCCCTTCCCCTTTGCCATCACTGATCAAATCTTGAAAATTCTTTTCAAGCCCAAACTGGTTGGTCAATACAAACTGAATTTGCAAATGCTATAGGTGCAAGAGAAAGAGTACTGCAATACTTGCAACACTTGCAAACATTCCAGAGAAAACAAAAAATATGCTCTGCATTTTCTTTTGCTGAGTTCTGTCTGAAATCCCTTTGACAGGAATTGGTACAGTAAGCATTCAAGCCCATGTTGCTGTGTGCAGATAGACAACATCATGCACTTTGCAAAGTGAACAAGTAGAAGGACGGTACTTTGCACTTCCAAGACAAGCCGCCAGTAGCAGAAAATAGGAGGGTCAGTGCCAAGCACTGTTAAGACTGCAGCAGGCTCCTGCTCAGTTTTGCTCCATATTCTTTTTATTTCACTCTAGTAGACCTATAGGTGACGTAAAGCCACAGGACTAGGGGGCTTGCCAAGGTGGCACTTACTATTATCTTCAACATGATAACACTACTCCCGCTTCCTGAGAGCTTCCAGCTATCTATGGTTGACTTCCAGCAGTGCCTAGAAGGCTGTTGGGACCATAGTCTTGATTGACACTGCATCAGCTGGAGCTGACCCAGACCTGGGATACAGAGAGACCTCTCCCAAGCCTTCCTCTCCCCCGCTTTAACTCCGCACTGAGCAGAGCTAAGGTTGAAGAACTGCACACCTACCAAGTCTCAAAATTCATGCACGACACTCGTTCCTTCTACCTTTTCCAATGATGCTGGCTACTTGTTCACTCTCAGTGGCCTCCTGGGCCAGACATCTGTGGGGTACAGCTGATGGGCCTGATGATCAGCTTAGAGGCAGTTGTATGCCTCTTGGTGACACAGCAAATTCAAATTTGCCTACCACAAGAATAAGGGCCAGGGTGGGAAATGGGGTTTAGCTCTGAAGAGCTAAAACTTTCTGTATCTGCAGCCACTGGGTGAAATATAAGATGAAAACAGCATATCTGCTGTTGAGACTGCAGCAATGACCACCGTCCCACAGAACCTGGCCTCTTCCCTCGTTGGCCTGGCTTCCCAGAAAGCCAGGGTAAGTAGGCAGTGGAGCCACAGCTATCTTGATGCCTGTAACAACCATGCTGCTCCGGCCTATATTGGCTATGTCTAAGCTGGCGTCAGATAAACTGCATCTGCCATGTGGGCTCCGGGAACAGAGAAGAAGCTGGGGAGAAGGTGTCTCTCCCTGGTTCCCAGCTGGTACCAACAGATTCTTCCCTGCAGCATGTCCTCCTCACCACAACACTCAATGCAGGAGGTGGCAATGCACCTCACAGAGTTTCACACACTGGGCGGTTAAAGAGCTGGGAGGTCTGGAGCTGGCAACCCTACTGAAACACCATGAGAGGTTTTGGATCCAGTGCGCTTTTACGGACAATTGTTATTTAAGGCCAAGTCTTGCGCACATTACTCTTGGAAGTTAAATAAGACTGTTGGTGTGTGTGCAAAGGCGGCACGTATTTGCCTTGGTGATTTTAACAATCACACTCTGATCAGATGCTACAGATTAATGCCTTGTTTTACAGACAGTTTCACTTACTGAAAAATCAGAATCTTTCAGATAGGTACTCCACAATATTTCATGTTAAATGGAGGGCATTTAATCCAGGAGAAAACATTTCTATGTCCCCCTAGGGAGCTACTTCAGTTTTAAGAGAAGTCAGTGAAAACCCACAGGCATTTTTAGTCATTATAACCACAAAGTTTGAGAACAAGAAAAAATAACTGAACTGTGTCCCAAGCTCCTCAACCTGATAGAGTTTCGTAGTGCATGTTACTAACCACAGTGCAAATCTCTACTTTTTGCTTTTTGCGTTATTTCCTCCCTAGAGCTGTACTCCTGTGCACTGCAGAGAATGCCTACAGTGCAGAATATAAAAGTAGCACAGAACAGCTAAGATGTTAAATGGAGCAGATGAAATACTACTGCTGACTAGAGCTTCACGTGTTTCATGAGTAACGCTCAAGTAAACATACCGATGTGATGACTTCAAGGTCCTTCAGGTATGTTCGTTCTGTGGTTGCTACTTCTTTAGCAATGAAGTAAGCTTTCTCAGTTGGGAATCTCTGCAAATTGCAAACACATTAGGTTTTCATCTGCTTTTATGGAACTGCTTTCTGTAGGAAAAAACTGCAGACAACAATCACCAAGAGAGTTACAAACTAGTGACCCTTGTTTGTGGTTGCTGTGACTCACGCTTCAATGTTCCTAAGCCCTGACGCCCTGAAAACAATCCTTCCTTACACACACAAGAGAACAAGCACTTTCTATGGGTTCTTGAGAGACTTTTTTTTCTGCCAAGGTGATTTCTACAGCTTTGGGGTGCTGATATTCCTTTCAGCTTATTCCACACATCTGGAGCAGGACATATTCTGAAGTTCATAAAGAAAACCTTTGCAGGCTAGATAACAGTTTGAATCAAATTTGACAAGTATCAAATTTGACAAAATGACAAAAATTAGTGTCTGATTATAAGTGTCATTGTCAGGGTAAGAATCCAAGTAAAAATACTCTCAAAAAAATCAAATCCATAAGATTTTCCCAGTGCGGCTGGGCAACCTGACAATGGGAGAGGAGAAGAATTTTAAGGTAAGTTACAGATTTCAAATTTCAGGGAGAAAACCCCAAATCCTCCTGTGTTATCCAAGAGGCAAAAGTGGTTTTGACCTCTTAATTCTGAAGAGCCAAAGGATCCCAATTGATCTTGCTCTGCATTGCTCAGGAAGCAAAAAGGAAGAGCAAAACATCCATAAATCTTTTGCTTCTACATTTCCTCCCTGAAGATCAGCGATGCAGAGGATGCACTAGAAAGGGATGCGAGGGGAGACCGCGTGGGCATTTTCTAGTCAGTATACAACTCCATAGGAACCATCATCAGCTGGTATAAGCTACAGCAGTCACTGGCTGCTGTAACTCAGACTGGCACAGAAAATCATCAGTCTATTAACTGATTCTTGGCTTTTCTTCTTCTCAAATTTCTCTCACATATCTTGCTAACTATGCACAATGGGAAAAGAGATCGTCCTTACACATGCTTTCACTTTTCAGCTAAGCCATCTGAGTTCCTACCTTCTTCCTCCTGCGATGCTCCCAGCTCAGGAATAAAAACAGGCGACAGAAGGACAAGAGCAACCCCCTCTCGCCCTGCAGCACAGGACAAGCCAGCAGACACCCAGAACACCCTGGCTCAGACAAAATCACTTCTGTCTTCGAAAAGCAGTTTTGGATGTGATGCTCCCTTACGGCTTTGCTGCAATGGTGGGGCTGAGCCAAACACTCCCAGCTGAACGCCGCAGGCTGTGGCTCAAAGAGAGGATTTCTATTCCTACAACCAAATTCTCCCAGTGGTGTTCCCAGCAGAGACAGCCTGAAGAGCCTGGGTTGGACACTCCTGCACAGGCTCAATGCTGTTCCTTTTCCTTGTGTCACCTGGAAATTCTCCCTCCAATAATACATTGGATTTGACTGTTTTGTTAAAACAAACTACCAATCTCCACTCCTTAAAAACAAGGTAGACTTACAGGAGACCCTGTCAAAACAAGCTCTTAAGGTTGCAACCACAGGACTGGCCCAGATTTATCCCACGTTAACCTTAGGGACACAGAGCTACCTATCTTCTCCGTGCTGCTTAAAGAGGAGCTGGGGCCCCTAACTCCTGCACCTCTGTTCAGGAGGATGAATCCAGGGCACTGAGCCCTCAGCTATAGCAGTTTTGTGGTTCTGGCCTGAACTGCTCCAAACTGTGAGTTTGGCCTCAGGAGCACAGGGGTGCTCTTGGACACGTTGTGACTGAGGACAGCAGATATCAGGTGACCCAACTCAAGTTATCTGTGTGGATCTATGATGAGGAAGCTGCAGGGGGTCTAGATATTAGTCACTTTGACAAACAGCAGTAGTCACAAGACAACATGAAGAAGAGAGCCAAGGCCAACTGCCTCTGCCTTACCTTTCTTTTGACCTCTTCCTCGTCGTCAGTCCTGATGCATGATGGGTCATTCAGCAAAGGGCTGATCAAGGGAGATGACTGCTTGGCATCAGGGCTCAAGTTTGGAGATAAAGACATATTTGCCACCGATGGTCCTCCTTGGGAATTGATGGAAAGCTCTGAAAGGTGAGGGCTGCCAGTCAGAGAGCCTGCTAAAAAATGGTAAAAGAGAAATCAGTTAGGACAGGCTCTCTCTAAGAAGTACCAAAAAGAGTTACAACCTTAAGTTGCAGCATGTGAAATTACAAGAGACAGCCATCAGGGTCCTCAAACTAGTCCAAATGGACTTGACGCCAGAGGAACTGCATCCACTTGCATTAACCAAGGGACTGGAGCGTTCTTTTAGCTGATGAAACTGGCTGAAATTAGTATCTTTGTAGGGAAGGGATCAAGGCATACATGACTGAGCTGCAATATTTACTGCTAAACATCATATTAATACCAAATATTTCACCACTGTAATCCACTCTATGAAAGAGAATAAATACAACAATAAGGGAATCACCCTAGGAGTGCCATTCTTTCCAGCAAAGTAGAACTTCAAAGGCTCAAATCAGTATTTCATAGGGAGCTACAGGACACAAGTTAGAACAAATTTATCTAGTGGAAGTCTAGAGAAAAAGAAACGATGACTTTCTACAGCAGTGTTGCTGCTAAGACCAGTCAGATCTAACACGAAGGGAGAAAACTACTAGTTCCCCAATTTCTACACACAACATAAGTATGTATATTATACCTTGTAGGTCTTTCCATGCTCCTCTGATTGTTTGGGATGGAAATGCTAGCATTACATTTACATAAGAAAAGCAATACTTTTAATGCACAAAGCATGACAACTTTAGATTATCACAGATATAAAGTCCCATTTAATTTTGGATTAAAAATATTTAAAAAATTAGACAATTAATTACACTTCCATAGATTCACATACACTACATTAAATATCACTGAAATTAGCATTTTGTCGTCTGGGAGGCAGCCAGACTACTGACTGCACAAAGGAAAGCGTTTGCCAAAAATGCCCAGTGTTCTCCCAGTTATCCCCTCCTCCAAACCTCTGAAAATCTAACCCTGTTTGAGAAGATGGATCTGTCATGTGGAAGAACATTTACAGTCTGTACCGTTTCGACATCATACATTAAAATCCAATCAAAAAAATATGACAAGCTCTTGATTACCACAGCTAATAGGCTGTCTAGGATTAAATGTAAAACACATGCATGGCCGTATATAATGAAGGTCAAATACATTTTACTATCACGTGTTTATGTCCTCCCTAGGTTATGATAGGTAAGTGTTCCTGTTGCTACAACACAGCTGAGATACTCCAGTAAACAGAGATACCAATAAATATAATTAGGCCAGTAGTAAAACCTATTTATTTTCTGGAAGAACTCAAGATTTATTGCTAGAACATGAATGTTTTTCAATTCCAAACCAGTTCATGTTTGTATGTCATTCCTTTGAAAAGAGAAGGAAAAAACCAATACAGTTATCAGTTTACGTAATCATGACAGTTATGTAGCCTATTATAAATCAAAGTCAAAGCAGTATTTGTCTGAAATACAGCTCTGTATTATTACAGCTAGCAAGAAAGGATTTACCAACAGTTTTACACTAAATCAATGTTCAGTGAAATTTGAGAAAATGCCACAGCTTGTTACACAAATGTCAATTTTATTGACACTAGCACACAACTGTATACAGTGTTTTCAAAAGAAATGGAATTCATCATTGAGAAATAGTGAAACAGATTAATAGCAAGGTTGTAAGGTTAAAAGTACTTAACTCTACATTACAAAAGACATAAGAAAAGAGATATCACCTCAAACGTGGAAACAAAGAAATTCTGGCACTATGCCTGTCATACGACAGCGAATAAATGATTTGCACCTCTGTGAGAAGTTCGCAGGCATTATAATCTAGAAGTTAAATAGCACCTATCTGTGATAGATAGATATAGATATATCAACATATCTACCTACCTATTTATAATCCTAGATCTAACTTCTGATGTACTGGAATTTTTATCAGTACAACTCAAGTATTTCAAACTATAAAATATCAAATGGACAATGAATTAAAAAGACTTCCTAACCTACACTTGGAAGACACGAATATTATGGAAAGCATCACAAAAAAATGTGCCTGGTGGCTCACAGCATTGAGTATACACCCCATTGATTAAAGGCTTGCACACCAATACATCACTGACATTCTCAAAGTTATTTTGCAGCAAGTTGAAATGCTACATCCTCCTTTTTGGTATCAACACGGACATGAGCAGTGACCAAATCCAACCACCACCACCTACAAGCAAGAGCTCAGTTAGACCCCATCCGCCAATATGCTGAACAAGTGAAAACTAAAGCTAGGTATAAGAAAGTGGCTATATTACAAAAGGGCCTCAAAATGCTGTTACATTAGCACATTGTGGGGCCTAATTACAACTGACACAGCCATAAAGATCAACACATTGGATTTTATTCTGGTAAAGGTGGGAAACAAACTCATTCTGCTGTGAGAACGTCAGTAAGTCATGAAGAAATGAAAATGGAAGGTCTGCTCTGCCCCATCACCAATCAATCAGGACATGTGTCATGCTGATGGGTGACGGCAATGCTGCGAAGTGACTTTCTCTTTTTCATGGAGGTGAGGAACAAATAACCTGCATTAACCAAGTGGTCTTTTCTCAGTGTTTCATCTGACCTCCTGCCACAGAAGAGTATATTCATACAGGCTCTGCTCATCAACTACATACTGCAGAATATAAACAGAAGCAGAAGGGAGAAGACCAATCTTATTTACAAGGTACTGAAATTCCTCACATTTTATCCTAACGGATTCATTGATTGACAGGCAATTATTAGCATGTCAGTTGCCAGATATCAAGTGGTACTGCACAGCACATTGGAGGCCTAAAAGGTTTGTGGCTGGTAACATGGAATTGGCTTTGCTCGTACTTCAAGTAATTTTTACTTAGATTCAGACTTGGGCCATCTTTCAAATATAATGGAGCCAACTACATACACACAAACCAAGAGACAAGTACAAAAGGATGTTTATCCAAGGATTGCTTGAGCACATACTAAAATTATATCCTTGGTGGAGTGGGCAGGAGTTAAGCATGTGCTTCAATTCTTTTCTGGGCTTGGTGCTTAAGAAGAGAAACAAACACTGGTTGATGACAGTGGCAAATAATGAGAATGCACTTTATCACGGTATGCCGGATTAGCCCATCAATGCCAAAATACCTGGAGTGGTTCTTAGTTCCACTGAGCTAGTTTAGTCTCCAGCCATTAGGGAAAGGTGCTGCAGTAGGGAAGGTGACAGAAAAAGTAAACCTGGATTGAAAACTAACTTGAAAAAAATCTATGAAACAACAATGGCGTTTTTTACATGGCCACAGGACATGAAACTATGGGTTATCATCCTAGCTTTACACGTCTCAAATCACTCCCCACCAACATACATGTTCCATGTGCTAAGTAAAATGAAGCCAGTAGTTAAAATCAAATAATAGCTATACCTCTGTCAAAACACATATCACAGTTGTTTGCTGCAATTTGGTGGTGGGAATGCACGGGAGTGATGGCAAGCTGTGGGTGCCCAGCCGCAGAGGGGCAGGCGGGGCTCTGCACTTGGCTGGCTGGCTGTGATCCATCCCACCAGCAGTACCTGCTTTACTCCAGGCTCCTGTCATGCACAGGTGTTAACTCACACGGACTGGTGCTGAGGTTGGTGCCTATGGAGACTTGGGCTGGCTGAGCTATACTTTAAAACATGCCCACTACCAGGGATAAAACAGTTCAAATCAGTACTTTTCAGTTGATGAAGAAAGTCCCTCCCAGAGGTCAATTCAAATCATACGTGAGCTGAACTGCCTGCTGCCTCTTTCTCTGTTGACTACATATACTGCATAAGATGACCTGAAATCCCTAGTTAGAGACTTTAACATAACATGTGAGGGCTCCCCTCTTTGCGAGGAAGATAAATGGGACTCAATGTATCCTGAAGATACTCCTCCTCTACTCCTTTTCTCCTGAAACTGCTGAGTAACAAACTCATGCCATTTAGTGTTCTGCATCTGCTTCAAATGAAACAGTTCCCATCCCTATTCGCTGTGTTTTAACAGCAAGGAAGAGTACAGCAGTGTTAAGATGCTCCTGGGTATGTTCCTCCTCTGTGGAGTACCAAGAAGTGAAAATTACTCAACTATGGAAACTGAGAGGAAACATTAGCCATTTCTGAAGGTGACTGAAATTCTGCTGGAAAACTTCATGTACAGCTACGGTGCTCACTCTAACTCAGCTGTTAAGGGTTATATTCTTCTCAAGGCTTATAGGTTTATTATTAGAAATTAAAATACGTTAAGAGCCAGAAAAGTGCCTTTCTCAATACCTGGAACATTGCAGGGTTTATTCTCTCTTACGCCTGCTCCACAGATTGCTCTGCAGTCAGGGGAAGCTTTTACTCTGCTTTAAGGGCAGATGAGTGTTTTCTAAACTCCAATCTGGTAGATGAAACCCAAGCAGTTGCCCCTTTGTCCTTTGCATTACTGAGCATACCACTTATGAAGGCTCTTTAATAAAGTATTTGACAGAGCTGTCACTGCTGTAGCCACGGTTAGGTCTAGCTTAATCTTCCACAGTCACAGTGGTTGCATACCTCTAACTTCTACCCAAAAGTTTTGGTCAGAGAAAGACACATAGTACAAAATGACATATGGGACAGATAGCACCAGATGAAGTGGCAGGAGTTTTCATATGCACTTCACTGATGACTGAAGTACCTTAGATTGGAGAAGAGTTTAATAAGGGTGTCCATCACTTCTTTCCCCACCTGTGAACCAGGCACAGTCATGCTGCTGAGCTAAAAGAGATATGGGATGGAGATTCTGCTCTGCTCTCCCTCAACGCAAGAACAAACCCCCACTGACTTCCATGAAAGCTTGAGGGGGACCAGTTCATCAGGCTGCACTCCTCTTTCCCATTAAACAAACCAAGCTGGAGTGCTCGATACAGTTTGTTAGAATTAAGAATCTTGAAAAGTAGTTATACATCAACCATAAATTTATGTACAAACAGCCCTGAACACAGTACCAAAGAATTTGAGGAGGAACAGGAAGAAAAAAACAACTCGGGAAGAG